AATGCCAAATTATTAAATAATGATTAAAATATATATTAGTAAATTAATAAATATGAAATCTGATAAACTATGCATTGCTATACTTACTAGGCCTCTATGAAAAATATTATTAACATGTAAAAATAAAAACTCAAGTGCTATTTCCTTAGCAATGCAAATTCGATTCGCTGCAATATTACAAAACCTGACACAAACTTTTCGTGCAAATATAAAATAAAAAAGTTTCAAGCTAGTAAAGTACTTGCCAATCAAACCATATTGAACAGAAATTTTTGCTTTTAGTTCACTGTGATAAGACTCTAAGGGGTTAGTTGAAGTAATTTGAAGAAGAAGTAGTAAATGTTGCCAAGCTCAGAGAGACCATTTTTTCAAATTGTTTAGGTAGTTTCTGGTAATATACTTGGCATTGGCTTGAACAGAACAGGTTTTTATGGCATCACGAATAACTTCCTCACATCCAACCTGTGTTTTTTTGTGCATCACATGGATCATTTCATTTTATTAAGTGTTGGGCTGTGGTAAATATTTTTTATCCATGTTCATATGACGTGAACAGTGCAAAGAAGAACATCACATTCCTGCTCTCCTGTAGATCAAAGCATTCATTTATTATATTTATTTGTTATAATTTGCAAATTATACAAATTTATTTTTTTTTTTTAAAAAAAAAAGTAATAAAATAAAAAAAAATTCAGATTCATTTTATTTCTACCTACAGAAAAACCCAGAAACGCTAATGCAATACCATTGGATTCCATATTGCTTTGGTCAAGAAGCATATACCATGAATTTCATTGTGAAGCAAATTTTCGAATAATTCTTAATGCTGATGCGACAGCCTCACTATTTTCTTTATTAACAAAGAAATAGGCACTAACGTTCCAACTGCCACAGCTATCACGGATGTATAAAGTAAATAAACGCCACCCATGCTTATTAGTATTATGTGTAGAATCTATTAGTGTTAACCAACTGTAATGCATTAAATTTTCTATTTGCTAGGAATTTGCGAAGCATAAACCTCGTGAACACTCAAGTGATTCTTGCCTTTGAAAAGACTCAACTTGATAATTATTTTTTATTAAAAATTCAGTTGTACTTAAAAAATCAGATTTTAAATTCGCATTTCCAATAAGATGTGAATTCATCAAACCAACAAGTTTCTGCTTGATATTAGTGACCTTCTTTGTTTTTAGATACTTCACGCCCGAATCTTCATACAATTTCGAAACCTCTTTCCTAACAACATTTGCAATCGTCAGAGGTTTGTAGTCCTTAATTGCCTCATTGCCTACCATATCTCTAATAAATTTTGACCATTTACACATGTCACTTTCTTCCATCAAATATCTATGATTAGTGGTACCATTTATCTGTAAACAATTTTTTTTTTAATTTATTGTAATAAAAAATATTACATTACAATGTTTTAAATAATGCTATCCTTATTCTTATTCTCTCAATTGTAACCATATTCGATGCTGCTAACCATGTTATTTTGATTTTAGCTTCACAATTCATAGCGTCTCTTTTCCAGGTTATGCGAAGTTTTTCAGGAGGGAGGTTTTCTTTTCTTCCACTTAATTCCTTAGGTTTTGAAAGTCTACAAACGAAAGTTTTATGCTCATCACCATTATCTAATATATAACCATTAAGCCTTGTTCAAAAGTTATTAACAAGTGCTTACTGCTTGTTGAAGTCCTCAATAGAAAGGTTAAATGTTTCGTTCATATTAAAAAAACATTCTTGGATGGTTGACATTGCTATAGTAGTGGCCACAGAGTTATAATTGACCAAGGTTTGTCATTACTATATGTATTTTTTTGGAAGGTTTTTTTTTCTTGCTTTTTTTTTTTAATTTTTTTTTTTTTTTTATAATTAATTTATTTGCTGCAAAACTGTTTTTCGCACATGCTGTGGAGTTTTGTTATAGCCAAAAATTGCTTGTTTGCTGTTTAATCACTTGCTGTTGCCATAGGTTTGTTCTTGCTATTGCCATAGGTTTGTTCTTGCTGTTGCTGTGGTTCATTCTTGCTATTTGCTGTAGGTTTTTGTCACAACTGAAAGCTACTTATTTGCAGGAGTTTTTTTTTTTTTTTTGTTAGAACTCACTTATTTGTAGAGTTCTTTTTATATATATAAGTTTATTTGCCAGTTGCAGAGTTCTTTATATAAAGTTTATTATTACAAAAATTTATTAGTTATAAGTTTCCTGAATCATTTTTCTTTTGCTTTATAACACCTAAAACCTACCTCAAACACCAGTTCACCGTATAAGTGATATTCTCGCAGAGACTTATACTTTAAGCTGATAATTAATAATCTAAAAAAAAATTTTTTTAAATTTATATTAATATATCGATATTGCATGGCTAATCGTATATAACTTGTGCCAATTGATCTGCATGACCCAGAACTGTCAGATCAATAGTTGCCCCGCTTTAGCGATTCCCCAAATATAGAAATAATTCTGATATGAGTTACACAAATACATCAACCAATTATGCTATGAGTTTACACAAATTACCTGCATGTTAGCCAATTAGGTTACAAGAAAAAATTTGTAGAATTAAGAAGGATTAAACAGATATGTTGTAAAACAAAATAAAAATATTAATTTATTCATTATAATTTTTGTATTTTTTAAAAACTTAAACTATTTGAGCTTTGTTTTAAAAAAAGTATTATTATGCCGAGGACCAGGTTAATGATGGCCAGACCCAATGTATAGAACAAACTATAATATTCTGTGCAGCTATGCAAGCTAAGCATATAATGAGCAAATTTACAAAAAAAACTCTTTACTTTCTTAAACTCCATTTTATCATCTCATATTAAGGAAAAACTACAAAACTCATCATACAATACACTATATGATCTAAACTCATGCTATAACCTGTAGTTAGCAGAGTTGAACCTACTTCTACTTTCACATCTCCAAACACTTAGCTCCTTTTTAAAACATATTCACTATTACAACTATACACAATTAAACAATTTTAACTATATACTTACAATATCAATCAAAATTGATTATAGTAAATACTATATATATTTATTATACAAATCTCAACCTTTACCTGAATATTTTTTTTCACAACTATCAGGCTATATTTATTACCCATCTATATCCATCCTTTCTAAATTTTTTTCAATAAACAACAACATACCAAATACAAATTTAATTATAAAAAAAAATAATATAGACTACTCTTACTTTCAACTAATAGGATCTATTTTAGAAGGTTATAATGAAACTACTAAAGCTAAACACTACTGTGACAACATCTAATTTAATATCTGCTACAACAAATTTCTATTTTACAATTACCTACTACTGCTTTCTTATATATAAACTATTATTTCTTTTTTACAACATATTCACAGCTTTGCCTATTTACCTGATAATGCTTGTAACTATACATTAATTATTTTTATTAAAAATGATCATAGTGAAGCTCATGGTTATCTTTCATTAGAAGCTAAACCATTACCTAATCACTTTATTTTACCAATTCAAGCTATCTGGTATTATTTAAACATTTAGCTAAAATTAAATACATCAACACTAGTCTTCTCTATACTAGCACTTTTAGCTCCTATCTCTAGCAATTTAATACAACTCAGGAAACCTAATACCTCACTTTTAAATTTCACAATCTGCATCTACAATATTCAAGAATATAATGAAAATCTCAAACAGCAAATTTGGGAGGATTATTATATTACTTATTTTTTAACATCATAAAAACTAAAATAGCAGAAGATAATGCTATTACCAAATTTTATAACTTAAAACACTACTCTTATTACTGGTCATGTAGTAATAGTTCCAAAGCAGGAACTGCATATATGATTCATAAACACCTTACATCTTATATACACAATATTCTTATTCTTTCTAGCTATGCTATTTCTTAAATTGTATTGTATGCAAATTTGTTTGCATCTTTTTTTTAAAAATTAATTTTTATAATAAAATTTTAACAATTAATTTTAGCAATATATTTTCTAAATAAAA